GGGGAGGGGGGGCTGTGGGGCGGGAGGGGGGTTTCAAATCCTTTCTCCCCCCCCCCCCCCCCATTTTGATCTCCTTTTCCAGCCTTTGGGTTTGATAAGAAAGGGAGCGCTGCCTGACATATTTCCGTTCCCTTCCCCGCCCCAATTTGCACAAAAGGATCAAAGTTCTTCTGTCTGTTTCTCTCCCCAGGTTTGGGAACATCGACCTCTCATTCTGGGTCGTGTCCTTTTTAGCATAGACGGGAAACAGAGACACCCCCCCCCCTTTCAAACACAGTTATTTTCTCTATATAATAATTATCTTAGCCTTTGGCGGTTTCCAGCTCTCCCATTGGCTGTGCAATGTGATTCCATCATCCATTGGCCCCTCAGCCGCCACTCAAGAGTACTGGCGTGCCATTGGCCGGGTGCTGGGTCTGCTCCTCTTCCCCACCCACTCCCACTTCAGCCCCGGATCCTTGCCAGAAAAACTGGCAAGTGGCTCTCTCTCCTGAGGAAGAGGCTTCTCCTGCTTGGCTCCAGTCACAGACTTTCAGCCCCACCCCCACCCCACCCCCCAGGTTGGCCACTTTCCTGTGGCACCACACTCCTCTCCCTCTACCACTCTCCTTACAGGACTGCAGTCAAACCAAACATTTAAAGAAACACACACATACTGAAACATGAAATCCTTACAGGGACACTATGCACCCTACTCAGGTATGGGAAGGCTTGTCTTGGAGAGACTCAGGGAGCCATTTTTTGGAGGGGGAGTCCTCCTTTGCTGCAAGGCTGAGGAAGGGGGGGAGGTGCTAGGAAGAATTCAAAGCTCACCTTTTGGTGTTTAGGAGGCCCAGAAAAGAGGCCAAGGTGGGGTCAAAGGTGATCACGGTTGATTCGGTGGCCCGAATGTTCCCCACCACCACCACCTACTGTCTCCCTGATGAAGGGATGCCGCCAGTGTCCAGGATGAGTCTGGAGATTCTCTCAAATTACAACTGAGATGCGTTTGTGTTCAGAAAACGGCTGCTTTCGAGGGTGGACTCTGTGCCATTATACCATTCCCTCCACAGGCTCCAGCCCCAGATTTCTGGGAATTGGCAACCTTGTGCATTCAGCAGAGTTTGTGGTCTCCTCCGGCTCCCCTTAATCGCAGCAGCTCTGTCAAGCTCGGGCCTCGCTTGTCTAGCCAGACTCAGGCTCTGTTGCCTTAGGGGTCAACTGCATGCTCAGAAGTGCTCCTTCCACTGGTTTCATGTACATGCTGCTTATCTTCTTTCCTAGGAAGGGAGGGAGTGTATGTGTGCGTGTGAATGTCTGCCTACGCTTGAACAGTAGCCAAATCCAAACAAAACAGACCTCCCAGTAATCACACAGCCAAGGAAACAAGACAAAACTGGGGCCAATATAGAACCAATAATACACTCTGAACCATGAGTAGTATGCTAGATACAATTGCTTTATACTAGATAGTTACTATAAAGTATACAAAATTTCCCCAAATATTTACAACAATAAGAATACAATAGAATATCAGTGGCTGCCAACAGCCCCAAAATAACAGTGGAATTCCTAAACAGTTACTGTTGGTAGTCAAAAAAGTAGAAGGCTTAATGAGCTGAAAGCTACTGGAGCTTGACGAAGCAGCCGGCTTACACTTGGTTTCGTCTAGTGACTTCCTCATAAGCAGCTTAACTGTAAGATAAAATCCATAACAATACATAACAATACATTTCAAGCAGAATTGAGCATGGCACTTAACACAGTTGACAAATCCACAATAAGCATTTAACACAGTTGTCAAACCCACAATAAGGATTAAGGTGAAGGTATACTACCTGTTGTTGTATATAAGTTTTCTTAATATGTGTATTTTCTTGGTTTTTAAGATACTCCTCTAGAGTTGCTACCTTTAATATAGGGACTAGCCCTTATTTCCTACAAGATAGAAGTATTAAGGTTTAGTACAGTTATATAGTTAATTGTATGATGTTAAGTTAAGTAAGGCTATTCTACTTAGTACCCACCTTGGACCATATCTCCTATGGGACCTGTCCTTGATAGACTAAGCTTCTTAGCCAAAGGTCTCTCTGTTCAACTGTTACATGTTTACCATATATATCCTAAGTGACACCACCTGCAAGTTCCTATTAAAGAGCCCAGCAATATGGGCTTAAAGTCTGTATGTTTTACTATTTCATGTATATCATATGTATCTTAAATGATGTATAACAGAGATATCATTTATAAAAAACATGTATAGTCTATAGCTAGGTTTAATCCCTTAGGATATTGTGTTTGTAGTTTATGTATCCAGAAAGCCTCACGTCTTTCTAAGGCTTTTATAACATCCACCTTACTGTATTTATAGGTGTTGAAGGTTTCAAGCACTAGAAATTTAAGATCATTACAGCTGTGTCCCTGTTCGACAAAATGGGGGACTAATGGGGAGTCCAAATTTTTCTGTCTAATGCGAGATTTATGCTCAATGATACGTGTCCTAACGGCTCTTGTGGACATACCCACATACAATTTAGGAATAGAACAACCACATTGGATCAAATACACCACTTTTTTCGTTGCACAAGTAGTAAGTTGCTTAAGAGTAACAGTAACATTAATAGAAGGAAAAGTAATTTGATTAGTAACAATTGCAAGTGCACACACTGAACATCTCCCGCAACAATGATGGCCACTATTAATTGAAAGGCTCCTGTTAACACGTAACTCATCTGTATGCGTTAAGGAATCTCTAATACTTTTAGTTTTACGAAAACCTATGTAAGGTTTATCATTGCAACCTGGAATATCACTGACCAAGTGCCAGTGTTTGAAAATAATTTTCTTGATGCGTTCAGCGTTAGTAGTGTAATCAAAAGCACAAAATATGCGTTGAGGTGTGTCTTTTCTGTTATTTGAAGCTAGCAGACTACTCCTAGTTCTATATTCTGCTCTGGCTGATGCTTTGGTTATAATTTCTTCTGGATAACCCCGTGTGACAAATTGTTGATGTAGGTTGTTTCTCTCTTTAATATAATCTTTACGTGAACTACAATTACGTTTAAGACGTAGTAGTTGGCTAAATGGCAGATTCCTCTTTAAATGCTGAGCGTGATATGAATTAAAATGAAGAAAAGAGTTTCTGTCTGTAGGTTTAACATAAGATTTAACTGCTAACAATCTAGTCTCAGTAACATATATTGTTGTGTCAAGAAAATTAATCTCCATCATATTTAGCTGAGCTGTAAATTTAATAGTATCATGTACCGAATTAAGCCAATCCAAAAATTGTTGAAAGACCTGTTTATCCCTAAAGATCAAAAATAAATCATCCAAAAACCGTTTTAGGAAAATAATATTCTGAAAAAAGGGGTTATTATCTACATTGAGAATCCATTCTTGTTCAAATTGTGCCATAAATAAATTAGCTACAGAGGGGGCAAATGAACTTCCCATAGCAATACCCTTAATTTGTGTGTAGAAATCATCCTTAAATCTAAAAAAACTATAATCAAAAATAATGTCTATAAGATCCAACAAAAAATGAGTAGGAGGTTCATGTAGAGAGCGTGAATCCAGAGTAGCCTGCAAACATGTACGAGCCTCTGCATGAGGGATATTAGTATACAACGCAGAAACATCCATAGTTACCAATACTGCGTTTTCTGGAATCAACATTCCTTCAACCT